ATGGTGTATCTTTATTTTGTCCTCACCGTTAATCATTGGCCAATAGTGTCCATCAACTTTTTCTTCAGTTAAATTTTGGCAATTTCTAATGCTATAGTGATTCTGTATTTTATATGGAATTTGAAATACCACTTTAACATTTTCTACCTTAATGAAAAACCATTGAACACATAGCACTTTTTTCTTCAGGTAAGATACATCTTACATGTTCTAAAACCACAATTTAAACATTAATAAGATTAAAGGAATAATGTCCCTGGTTATAATTATTAACTAGCAAAGCGCACATATATATTAGATTTAATGTCATTGTTCATCCAAATTAATTGAATTATTTGATATTCAAAGGTCAAAAAGTCTTTTTTTGATTGTTGAAATTATTGCAACTATATTACAAACACAGAGTCGCTGATATAACTCCCAAATTGATATTCATAATTTAAGATATATAGAAAACACTCTGGAAACAATTAATAAATAGCTATCGTTTTCAAACGTTGTGTTGTAAATTAGATATTAAAATAGAGAATAACCGTTAATGTTTTGTCTTTCTATTTTTTACCCTCCGATTTTGAGTTAATTTGAAATTTTTATCCTTTGTGGCTGAGATGTCGCATCTAAAGTTTGAGGCTTCAGAATTGTAGCCACCGTTCATCCCTGCCTGTGTAATTGTTAGAAGGGAATGGGTTCGTTTTAGTAAAGAATATACACCCCTTAGCTCCTGCAGATAAGGTGGTTGTGTGCCCTGGTGTTGCTTTACATTTTTAACAGCCGATGTTTTCTTTCTTGTTTAGGCGCCATATTACCTGAATTGTGTTGGTGCGCTGAATAACCAAATAAAACAAATATCTTGGTATAATTCTTATGACCTTGTCCATTGTTTGTCTTTCAAGTGTTCTGTATTGCCATGCATTGTTCGGAATTGCAATCCGTTAAGAACAACAAATTAACCTCAAAATACTTAAATGAATTCAGCTCAAGGAGTATAAACCAACCGGAATATTGAAGAACATCTGCATATTAGATACGATGGGATTAGAAGAAAGTACAGGTGGTTTGAATGTGAAAGATGTTTTACCTATTGTAAATGGCAATATTGTGCCAGGTTACAAGGTAGGTTATTTATTATACGCGGGAAATCTAATTAGTTTATAAACTTATGACAGTTTATTTTGCTTCGAAATATTTTAAAAAGAATTTATCTATAACTTTTGTAGGAAATGAAACGTATCTTGAATTCACATATAAATATATCAGTTATCAGATAAATATATTTTTTATATCAATAAACTGTTTCTAAAATATTAGAAAACCTATTAACTTTAGTTTCAATGACAAATTTGTTTTGTTTAATACTTGATACATATATTTCTCTATGATATCAATAGCGCCAGCTAAAAATATGTTTGTAAAAAGCTTGGATATTATCCCAAACTTCTAAAAAGTGGACACTTTCGTCTTAGATTAGTTTTTTGTTTATTTAAGATATGGCAAGGAAAGCAATTCTAGTCCGATAGCAAGTAAACACATATTACTGTATTTGAAAGTTAAAATTGCCTGTTTCTATTAACGTGTATAATACAAGAATTATCGATATATGTTAAAAGAAGAAAATTTAAGTATATACGAAAACACGAAGTGTAATGGGGCTCCACTAATGTTTGTATTTTTTGACAATAACAGAATTCGATTTTTTTTTTTTAGATTAATTGACTATTTGATATACATATTGACCAAAAACTTGCGTGCAAATTTTAAGGTCACTCTATTGCCTCGTATTTTCCTATATCATAATAATCCCCCGCCGAAAGGATTTCTAGGCGGCCAACAAAGCATCCATGACGACAAACGCAGTGGACGTCCCAACGAAACGTCAAATCACATCGCTGTGATAAAGAAGCTGCTTGACAATGATTGTCGGATAACAATTCGCGAAATACACGAAAGATCGGATTGTAGCATTGGCACAGTGCATCGCATTATTTTCGATGAACTCAATATGAGACGCCTTTGTGCCAGGTGGATACCTAAAATGTTTTGACGGACGAACAAAAAGTGGAAAGGGCGCGGTGTTGCAATCAATTTTTCAGACGCTTTCATAGGGAAGGTGAACGTTTCTTGCGACGGATACTGACTGTTGATGAGACAGATGCATTTAAAGTCGGCCCATCTGCAAGGAAACAGATGTTCATCGTCTTCTTTGACGTCGACGGTGTGATACTGTGCCAAGCGGTACGCCTGGGTCAGACTGTGACGGCGAAGTATTATTCTAAGGTGAATAAATTTATTTAATCTATAATAAGATTTTCATTATTATGTCAATACATTACCTAATAATTATTTATATTTGTGTAAGTAATTATGAAAATAAATTATAACGACAATTTACTTATGGTTGTATTTCTTTATGCTTTCTGATTCTGAGACGCGATTTTATTAGGGCGATGAGAAAGAAGCGAGCCACGTAAATCGCCGACACGATATTTCATCACGACAACGCACCGTTTCATCATGCGGCCGAAACACAGTACACAATCAGGAAACTCGGCTTCGAAGTCCTCGAGCACCCGGCCTACAGCCCTGACCTCGCACCATGCCATTTCTTTCTGTTCCCGACACTGAAGAACGTCCTGCGGGGAGAACATTTTGATGATGTGGAAGAGTTGTCCTACGCGGTGCAAGGTGCAATTTCAGAGATAAATAATGGCTCCTACTTTAATAGTTTCATGTCATGGATCAACCGTTGTAAAATGTGTGTTTCCTTTCACTGAGAGTATTTCAAGAAGGACTAGGTGCGTGTTTTGGGTGACTCTCATACATGCGTTGAGCGTGACGTCGTTACGACGTTTGGCCGGTTTCACTGCGAATACCTTAGAAATACTTAAACTTTTACTATTAATTTTTATCCGATTTTGTTGAAATTTTGTGTATATGTCTATTATATGTTTATTTACAAAATGTAAAGAGAACGTCGATTTTCCACGAATATTAAAAATATGGCAGCATTTTTCCGCGTATTTATTGAACAGCCCTCGTACTTAATTTTTCACCTGAGTGGAGCATAACTCAAAAAGTCTTTAGGATGTCAACATGAAACTTCATAGGTGGATAGATCTTTTTGAGGAGGAATGCTGTGCACAAATATGATAACTCTACCCATTATACTTTTTGAGTGATTGCCCTTTGTTATTTTTCATACTAATTGTCCGGAGCTTAACACAAAATGTGTTAGAGATATCAACTTCAAACTTAAAAGGAAGATCATATTGAGGAGTGCAGCGTACAAGGATGCTAACTCTACCCTCCATAATTTTTGAGTTATTGCCCTTTCTTATTTTTCAAACTTAATATTTGTCCAGAGCATAACTAAAAAAAGCCTTCGAGATGTCAACGTAAAACTTCATAAGTGGATATATCTTATTGACGAGGAATGCTGTGCACAAAAATGATAACTCTACCCTTTATGATTTTTTAGTTGCTGCCCTTTGTTATTTTTCATACTTTCTCTCAAACGTGTTAGAGGTATCAACTTTAAACTTCATATGTGGATAGATCTCATCTTGAGGAGGAGTGCAACACACACGAATGATAATCTACCCAGCATTATTTTTGAGTTATTGTCCTTTGTTATTTTTAGCCATCAGTATTCACATAGGTTTGAAATTTGTTATCACTTTAGCCATCAGTTTTCATTACCAAAAGACCTCTTCAGATTGAATTATTCTGCTCTACTACATTTACATTCTTACAATGAGCAAACAATTCGGCGGGGGATGGCCATGCTAACATGGCTCTTGTAATTGCTTTGTATTGTGCGAAATGACACGACAAATGAGAAGCCCTGTAATACATCTCATTTATTTCGGGGTGATAAAGCCCTGTAAAACATCTCATTTAATTCGGGGTGATAACCGCACAATAAAATAAAAAATGAGCATATTTGTATAAGCTATTACATATTTTTCTATTTTGTCTGTTTAATTTGAATTATAAAAAAATATCAAAGTTTATGTTGTTAGGCTGTTATTCATATATCTTGATAAATAAGCATATCAACTCCAACATTATGCAATAGAGCAAACGACCCTGTATCATTAAAGCAAACCGTTTTTTATTTGTACATTTAGTTCAATCATGCATCTCCTATTGAAAAAGAAAGTGAATACTTTAGATCAAATCCTGAAAAGGGCGACAGGGTTCACTGTGTCGTTTTCGTAGTGGACGCTAATATTCTTGGACAAAATAACGTTTCTGATGGAACAAGAAGGAACATAAAGGAAATAAATGAAGAATTAAGAAGAGAAGGTAATAAATATCTGAACATAAATTATGTTAACCCTACATAAATGTATGATTCAATTAATTATGTAACGAGAAATGCTATTATATCACCATGCTGCTTTAACAAAACGTAAAACACATTTTTTTTTCGACGGGAAGTGTAATAAAGACTAATTAAATGTTCAAATCATTATACATTTACAAAAAGAAAACAAAAAACATTGTACTTATCAGTGTATGTACAATTTCGCATACGAAATGTCAATTGTATTTTTATTTTTATGTTATTTTTTAGATGTGCCGTCATTTGTTTTGCTGACTAAAATAGATAATCTTTGCGAACTCGTTGAGAAAGATATCAGGAACACGTATTCCAGTGAAAAAGTCAAGCAAGCTGTTGATATTGCCGTCGAATTATATAATGTTCCGGTAAGAGCATGGTATATACATTTTTACCTTTATGAATCGTTCATATCAAAAGTTGAATATGGAACACGCGTGTGATAAAATCAAATAGAAATTTGACATCTTTCAGCTAGACAACTTTTCGATTTTCAACACCACTAGCCTATGATAATCCTAACTCCGATCCGTGCATACTTATATTTAATTGTAAAATGAAATAAAACAATACACATTTATCCAAAAATTGAATACAGATTATTTGAAAAATTGAAAGTCGCCGACAATTACTTTTAAAGTCATCAGAGCAATATATTTAAATTTGAAACAATTATTTTCATTTGAAGTTACATTTTATTTCTCATTTTAACCAAAACATAGACCACTATACATGTATAATGCTTTCCGGTGTCTGGATGAAAAACTCGAAGTTTAGCAATTTGTCATTATTTGAATAAAGTTTCAATTTGATTAGGTTAAACAGGGCAACATTACCTTTGTTCATTGTCTAATGTCATAACGTTGTCGTTTTATTATTGTTTTAGGAACAAAATATTTTCCCGATAAAGAATTATCATTGCGAAACGGAAAGAGATACCAATAAAGAGATTCTGATACTATTAGCACTGAAACAGATGATGTACTTTGGAACAGATTTCCTCCGTTCTACATGATACGTAACTTCATCAACTGCATTTTGACTCATAACAATACATAGGAAAAAATAAAACAAACCTATTCAAGAGTGAATTGTTATATACTTGTCATACTGCAGCTTCGTTAAGTGTTATTCACACACTGCATTAAAGATATATATCACAGATTTTTTAGCAGAACAATTTCTAACAAAATGAATTGTTCCATTAATGTGATAACACCTTTATTCAAAAACCTTAAATAAGATAAGAATTTAAATAATAAAAAATATTTCACAGTATTTGATTTGAAAAAAGATAAGATGTTAAAATATACTTTTGGACGAATATAGCTTAGACAGATAAGATGTTTGAAAATGGCTGAGACATTTTGGGAGTTTAGGGTTAATTATTGTTTTATTTTATGAGACATATATCAGTGTATTATTACTATGTACGTTCTTCTATGAATCAAAGTGCATGTGTATGGCCTTACATTATTATATGCACAATTTAATTTTGTCACTCATAGCACTAATCCTAGTCATGTTCACGCTCCTATATTATTGTTTAAAAAGTCATACTTCCTTTACTCTCGATTTAAATATCACATATCATACTTTAAAACTATTCATTCAGTCTTGATTCTTATATTACAAAAAAATGCTTCTTCGTTTCTAAGCATTTTAGAATTCAAAACATCATTCTCAGACTAGCATAATTTGTACTCATTAATGCACTCCTGAATTATGTACTTCATACGCACATATAATACCTTTTACAACCTCCAACCCTTGAAGTATTTATTGGATATGGTCTGAGTTTTGGTTACCATTTTGAGTCTAGCCTACATATCATATTTCTTACAATTTTAAAGTTTTTACTCCAAGCATACTAATATTGTTAGGCATTTAAACTGAATGTTTATATTAAAATATCTTTTAGATATAATAACACACTTGTGTATTTAGTTCTTTATTGCATAATATAGTCGCTGTTTATATATATTCGTGTAGTACGAGTATATCCTAAGTAGAACATGTATTCTCTTACACTATTTATATGTAGCAACTCAACAGTTTAATAGAAATAATGTTCTATTGTTTTGTTTATTTGCTTGCATCCTGATATGAAGCGTGGCGACAATTAAATGGAATATGGTAATTTTGTGTTCAAAACACATTTATAACATCTGCAATACATGTAAATATTGAAGAAACAATTCCTATTATTGTCATGTCACAATGATATAACCAATGACGGTACTCAGATTTTAAATATTGTAAATTTATTGATACATCATGACATTTGAACAGATCCTATACTTAAGAATATAGCAATATAAAAATGCTGTTATAGTAATAAAAATACTTCATTATAAAATAATAAGATTCCAGCACTACTCAAATAAACAGCTTTTCTCGAACTTAAAGAGGTTACAAATGATTCTTACAATTAAAATTCATGTAACCATCTTCTAATTAAATTGCAACGGATAATAAGCATATATATATATATATATAATTTTTCACCATATATATATATATGGTGAAAAATTTAGGTTACAAAATGTATGTTTTCTTAAGATGAATTGACACCCCTATTTGTCTATATTGATGTAAACAGATAATGAAAAGAATAGCGAATTTGAGCTTTAAAATTTACAGTTTCAACGAGTTGTTTTTGTAATAGTGACGGTTGTTATATTACACTTGACACAGATACAGACACCGATTTCATCACACTCGTTTACATGTAGCGAGCTGGACTGCTTAATGTAGGGTGCAACAAGGGGTATATTAAATGCACTTTCTAACGGGGTTAAGAGATATGTTCTACTTTTTATTTTTTTATATAACTTTTTTGTGTTTTAATAACGTTTTATGCAGCACTCGATCGCAAGAGTAACAAATAAAAACAATAGCGCACGAACTGTTATCTGCAACTATCAGACCTGCATCGAAACAGTTAAAGTTTTGTGTCAAAAATTTAAATCAATATTTACAAAAAAAAAAGTTTCAACCCTTCAAATTAAATCAAGGTCGGTAGACTGTCCCAAATATCCAAAAAGTATATTCTTCATTTTATCATTCTATCATGTTACTTCCCTTTAAAAAATAAACATATGGTTATTAGTGAATTTAAAAATTCTAATGATTGAATAAATAAAAGGTAAAGGTCTGTTTATTGTAGTGTATCCTTACTGAAAGGGTCAGCCATTTCTGACTTATGAGAACACCTTTTGCTTGCATACCATGTACTCCCAACTACTACAACTATGCCAGGCACCGGGCGATAGAAATATCGGTAAACATTCATTTTAATATGTCGCGGGCTCACGAAGCGGCTATTTAATGATCCCCACAGAAACATTCATCTTCAAATTAACGTTCTTTGGGTGCTCGAACCCTTTAATTCCCATCCGAAGCGGACGCCTTAACACCGAGGCCAACGTACCGTAGTTAATATTGTAATATTTTAGTTTGATAACAAACAACGACACATATTTTGTCAGATTTTACCAAATGGCAACCATTAACATATGAAATAATAATTTAAAAATCCAAGTTGAAATACAATTGCTTGGGGAAATTCCTTCTGATATCCATCACGCCATGTCTAAATGTAAAAAAAAAATATATTGTCTTATGACCTCTGCAATCGGTTTTGCACAAATGTAATTCTAAAATCCTCATTAACGATTTATGCAAACAATGATACGATACGGTTGTTTTCGCTTGCTATTAAAATATTTTTTTTTTTTTTTGGTTATAAACTGCATTAACAACATTCCAATGACATTGATAAAAATATATTTCAGGAAAAGAAGTTGATATAAGAAGTATTATCAGTAATGTTAATTTGACAATAGTTAAGAAGTACATGATCTCTTGCCAAAATTTCATATGAAGCACTTTCGAATACGCCATTAATACCTATTATTACATACATTTTATGACCCAAAAAATTTGACATGTGAATAGGTTATTCAGTTCCATGTGATTATCATTTATATGATATGTTTACAGTTGCATTTCTTACAACGAACGATCGACAATTAAACACATCTTTTTAAAGTGTTCAAGAATGTACAAATTGATCAATTATTCTTTCTTAAGAAATCACGTTATATGATAGTTGTCCCCGTTTATTGTGGACTTATTATTTCACTTCATTTGAGTTCCCGGTCGATATGATGCTCTAAAATACCAACCACAAAAAAATGTAAAAAATTGTATAATGGATTGTGATTGGTGCATAAATCGTTATAAATGTCAAAATATGCGTATCTGTGTGACCCAAATAAAAAACACTGAAATTATTATCTGCGTGTTCAATAAAGCGATGTTGGGGTGTTTTCGCCAAATACCGGCTGTGATAGACAGGACGTTACTTTATGTAATCATTTTATATTTTTTTTGTGGACTTATGTACGAAGAATTATCCAAAATTAATGGTTTTTTTAGATATCCTTTTACGTCAACGTGTATTGTAGTGAATATGAATAACATACATTGTAGAATATTATCAACAAATTTTAAAAGAAACAGTTAACTGCGTCAATAAATAATTTTATATTGCTTTTTAATATGCACATTTACGGCACCCGGCGCACTGTAGGAAAACGCAATTAGTTATCGTATATTTTTTGGTAATAAACTAACAATTAACGAAGAAAACCCGCTAAACATCGCATGTTTCTTCCATTTCGTTTCAGTATATTTAAAATTATGTTATTATATGAAAAGGCGCAAGGAACGGCAATTAAGTGCTGACTGTATCCCGGTTTAAACTTAAAAAGTTAAAATCAAAACGAAATAGTTTTTTAAAAGGGAAAGCGAGGGATATATTATTTGAGAAAAGTGCACAACATGGAAAAACAAAAATGTCAAAGGGCATGAGGGCGAAATTGTATGAAAAAGAGACTTGGAAATTATTGGATGGAAAAGGGATATGTTTTCCAGTTAAAGCTCTGGGTAAGACAATTTACGAAAAAAGAAAAATTTTGTTTTCAGCCTTTCCCAAAACATTTAAAACAAAAGGGAAAAACAAAAATTTTTTTGTCCCGTGTCATCTTTTCGACAATTTCGGTTTAAAAAAATACCTTAAATAAAAACGTTGTAGTTTTTTTGCCCCCGGGGGTTTTCCCCAGTATAAGGTTAACCGGGCAAATGGAATGAATACTTATCAAAGATTGTAGGGTTAACACAAGTTTTTTTGTGTTATAACGTCTGCAGAGTCCCAAGGAACGGTTAGTACCCGAGCCCGGTAAGGAGAGTGCTCTAACAGTTCCGAGAGAATCTGCTCTGCAAAACTTTATAACAGGAAATAAACGTGCGTTGACGCTATTATAGCATAAAATTTTAAAACAGATTCATGATGTATAATTAATACAAAACACATATACATTCAATCCTTGTGCTTGAACGGTATTTATCCAATTCTACATGTTTTACGTATTCGTTTTATTTTTTCCGGGCCCAACAACTTGGGAAAGACAAAAACTTAGAACCGAACGATACTTGGAATTGATTTAAAATTGGAGATTTATTAACTCGAGAGAAAACATTAAATCACTCTACCCAAGGCAAAACATGACCCTTAGAAATTCCTAGATTGATTTCAGATTGACTGTAAAAAAAACGATCCGTGACCTCAAAATCGTTTTTTTTTCAAGCAAAATTTTTATTAAAAAAAGCCCGGGCACAAAAACATTTCCCAAAAAATATAAGAGCATTTTTAAATTTTAAAATATAATAAAAAACATTTCTCATATATTCTGTTTTATTTTTTTAAAAATTAAAGGGAGGTTAACTAAATTATAATTTTTTTCTTTGCCCCCCTTTTTTAAAAAAGGGCGAAAACTCAGTTAGCGGCATTTTATACCCGTATCCGGCTAGTTTTAAATGTGAAATATGGGCCCCCGAATCAAAATTTAAATTTTTACAGAGCGCACCTTTTGGCAGCCAAAATCTTCATTTTTTTTTTTTTTACTGGTCTGATGTATTGAATAGGTAAAACCGGGGTATAACAAAAGGTATGGGAACACATGGTTTGGT